TGGCCAATGGCTTATCCTGTTAGAGGATGGATGTTCTCTTTAAGGCAATTGTGAACTTCATTCCAGACAATTTTTAAAAAAATGGTTAATATTTAACATTCGGATTAGGCACGCTTGTCCCATTCGTGACCAGTTTAGCATTATCCAGTTTAGCATTATCCAGAATTTTGATGTGTTCGGGTACATATATATATATCTGGTATTTCTATAGCACTCAGGGCAGCCTAGAGGAAGGAGGAATGATTGACTTTTTTTTTTGATTATTTTTGTTTAAGGTATCTTTTTAACCATATGTTTTTAACATGTTTTTTTTTTTTCATCTTGTGTTTTTTAACATATGTTTTTTTCATAATGTTTTTAATCATGTGTATTTTAATTTTTTTTTTTTTTTTTTTTTCTAATCATATGTATTTGTTTATTTATTTATTTTTGTATCATTTTTTTATCATTTGTTTTTTGACATGTTTTTCTTTAAATCATATGTTTTTTTAATCACTTTTTTAATCATCTGTTCTTTTATTCTTATTTTTAATGGTGTTTTTTAACATGTTTTTTTAATCATATTTTTTAAACCATGTTCTTTTTAATATATATATATATATATATATATATATATATATATATATATATATATATATATATATATATGTATGTATATTTAAATCTTTGGTGTTTTTCTATTTTTTTTAATCATGTTTTTTATATTTCTTTTTTATCATGTTTTTTTTTATGTAATATTTATTTTTTAATCATGTTTTTTTTTTTATAATATTTCTTTTTTAATCATGTTTTTTATCTTCTGTGTTTTTCTGTTTTATGAATCATTAAAAAAATCTAAGGTGTTTTTTTAATCAAATATTTTCTTAATCATTTATTTTTCTCTAATCCCAAGTTGAGAACCTAATGCGGATGTTTTTTTTTTTTGAGTTATGTATCATTCTCGAACATTCTCTTTGATTACGGAGATACCCGCGATAGTTGGTGGCTAGCATGGAAGTTGGTATCAGGTACTTCTGCAAGTTGGTCAGCAAGTAGCAGATCCTCCTTGGAGGATGGCAGGCCTAGAGAGGGAGCCTGGAGGATGGCAGGCCTAGAGAGGGAGCCTGGAGGATGGCAGGCCTAGAGAGGGAGCCTGGAGGGTGGTAGGCCTAGAGAGGGAGCCTGGAGGATGGCAGGCCTAGAGAGGGAGCCTGGAGGATGGTAGGCCTAGAGAGGGAGCCTGGAGGATGGCAGGCCTAGAGAGGGAGCCTGGAGGATGGTAGGCCTAGAGAGGGAGCCTGGAGGATGGCAGGCCTAGAGAGGGAGCCTGGAGGATGGCAGGCCTAGAGAGGGAGCCTGGAGGATGGCAGGCCTAGAGAGGGAGCCTGGAGGATGGTAGGCCTAGAGAGGGAGCCTGGAGGATGGCAGGCCTAGAGAGGGAGCCTGGAGGGTGGTAGGCCTAGAGAGGGAGCCTGGAGGATGGCAGGCCTAGAGAGGGAGCCTGGAGGATGGCCCCATGGAGGAGTGTCACGGTCGAGTGTCAGGAGGCAGTAGGATCTGGGTCAGAAGACACGGGTGATAGAGCGAGGCCTATCGCTTAGACTGGCCCGTAACAGCGGCAATGTCAAAGACTGATCGGCTCATAGCAGGCAGACGTGTGGAATTCCTGTCGAACAAATTGCAAGTAGAACAGTGAAGGGAAGTACAGGAAAACACACGAATATGCCATATTCGTGTGTTTTCCTGTACTTCCCTTCATTTTTCTACTTGAGCATAGTAGGCAGAGTATCACCCAAAGGCGGGTCATTATCTCTTTTGGTATCATATTGATTCCAAGTGCGAGTTAATTATATTTCTTTGTCGTTTTGTCTTCTCTGTTGCCGACGAAGGTCATGTTTGTGAAGGGGGGGGGGTGTTAGACGTTGGGCCACAACGAAGAATGTGCTGATTGCTTGTGTCAGTAGGGTCGTGAGTTTGCTTTATTTCCTTAGGTATGTTAAACAACTTCATATTTGTTTTAAACTTCGGCGGGGTCATAGAATTCGAGTGTCAGGTACATTTTTCCAAGGGAGTCATGAACCAAATTAGAATCAAAGACTTCCGGTTATAGATACATTTCATGAATACCAACCGGTCTTGCCTGTAGTTACCACGAGAATCCGAATAACAATATATGCCTTAAACACTGTTATTCCTGCTGACAAAAATCTTGTACTGTAGATGGCAGTTAATACTATATCGAAATTTGATGTAGGTCTGAATTGCACAATAGAATGACAGAGTCCAGGATTGAAATTTAAAACTGTTTAGAAGGACCGATAACTTCAAGCTCAAATCTTAATCCTGCACAGGCAAAAATGCAAAAAATGCAGATATAACTTTCAATAAAGAATTAAAAAACAATACGACAATGTCAACTAGAAAACTAGAGCTTCTAGTAACAGAGAAATTATGGCCATTTAAAAAAAATGTACATTTGGAATTAAAATAAAAGATTTTAGTAGCAGCATTATTAACTTTAAATCTAAATTACAAATATCCCGAAAAAAACTATAAGTTAATATCTGATGAACACTTTTTCATTATTGTTATGAATGAGTCAAAATGACGGGTATAATGGATAAGTTTTTAGACACAACCAGCTTTTATGAGCAAACTACACTAATAGAAATGCTGGCTCTCTTACAGTATTAACTCTTGTGGCACTTACAGTAGATGCTTAAATATCAAACATTCCTCTCATATATTTGTAGGTGAATTTACAGTAGGTAAGTATATATACAGGCCTGGTCACATGCATATGCATCCATCTTTGGGTGTGTATATATGTATGTGTCTTTATTTTCATTATATATTGATATATGTGAATGAGCGCCTGAACACCTGAAATAGCTTTAAATTTTAGACTGCTTCAGTCCCCCCTCGGACTTGTGAATTGTTAAATTGATGTTTAATGTTTGGCAGCTCATAATTGTTAACACAAGTAAATAAGCCAGTTATACATAGAGAATGGGCAGCGTCACATATCCTGTTGACTGAAAACTCGGACAACCGATCTTATTTTCTGCTACCGGTGCCCTGCTTCTCAAAAAAAGGATAAATTTGCAGTATTTTATAATATATATATATATATATATATATATATATATATATATATATATATATATATATATATATATATATTTTACAATAGTTATGTACATACATGCAGATATACACACGAATGCACACGAAAGTGTATATTTACACTAACCATGTGTTTTCTGATTTGTTAATAGTTCCTGTTTTAAATATTCATACTTTTTTCTTTCTCTTTTCCACTGAAACGGAATTCCAATAGAAATGAAGGCACAAATACACAAGCAATAGTTTACATATTACTTTTATTTAGACTATTCTCAACTTATAATAATATCAATATTTCACAAGACTAATGACTAGATGAGTAGGAACGAGAAGATAATTGCCGGAATAAAACATCTGGCAGTTAAATAATGCATTAGGTTAAACATCAATTCCAGTTCATACTTATTTCTCGGAGTTTAAAAATTCTAGCGTGAAAGTTAGTTTGAGAGTAAAAGCGTTCTTGTTTGTACTTTCATATTCTCTGATTACAAACGTGAATAATCTGTACTGCTGGCATCTATTGGGTGGAAATTATTAGAATATGTTTGTATTACTCTTATTTTTTTCCCCACTTGTTACTTTCTCATATTCATTTTTTTTTTGTTTATTATGTGTTCTGTCGGGAGTGAATTATTGCTAAAATTATGGTATCTGGCCGAGGAGAAATGATTGTAAGTACGTATAATTTCCCTTCAAATAATGAAATTTTGAGCCAATAGTTGATGGAAAAAAAAAGATCATATCAAGATGGCAGGTTTCTGGAATCTTCCACATATGAAGGTCTGGCACCCCCCCCCCCATTACACTTTTTCTATCTAAAAAAAAATCTCACGTTTCAAATTAATCTCAGCCGACTACACCACTAATTACTGAATTTATTTATCTTTTTCTGCGTATATTAAGCAAGTTTATATAAAAGACTGAGTATCTACTTTCGCTAAAACAATATATCTCTCCAAACTATTGTACTCTATTACACTAATTAACAGACAACAACTGCTGGATCTCGTAGTAAACATTTTGTAAATCGAATTAAAGTGTAAACATCAGGAAGGATTGTTAGTTTCGAGATATTCCTCACAGGGTTCTATCTCAAACCCGGCAGTAGATTAATAGTAATCACAGATGACCATTATAACAGGTTTGAGTTTCCCCTGGGCTTCTTCTGTATGCGGTTCTTTACAGACGCCACATAAATGACGTTCTTGCCTGATTTCTTCTGGTTTGTTAGAAGGATTACTTAAAAAAGTGACTGGCGGATTGTGATGGCATTTTATGGGTGGGTTGTCCATGGACCTGGGATTAATTGATTAGATTTCAATAGTTCTGGTCCAGGAAGAAATTAGAGGATTTTTTTTTACCAATCTGAAACCTCAAACACAGAGGGGTAACTTCTAGTTGGGGGTTTCTTTTAAAAAGTAGGCTTTTGTTATACGAGTTACTTTCAAACCCTCGCTATTTTTCAGATCTCTATTTCTTTTCGTACATGTTTTTTGGCACTGGCAAAGGTTTTGCGCTTTTCAAATTTCAGATTATATATATATATATATATATATATATATATATATATATATATATATATATATATATATATATATATTACATATATATGTATATGCATACATACATATATATATATATATATATATATATATATATATATATATACATGAATACATACATATATATTTGTGTTTATATATGTTTACACACACATACATACACAAACGCGCGCGCGCGCGCGTGTGTGTGTACGTTTATGTACTTATGTATGTATACATATGCATATATACATATATACATATATGCATAGATACATATATACATACATATATATATACATGTATATATATATATATATATATATATATATATATATATATATATATATATAGCGTGTGTTTGCGAATCAACAGACCAATCCTAATTAGTAATCAGTAGCCATGTAAATTTGTTGCTGATAAACCGCGTCATCTGGATTAGTGTAGCAGTGACGCCCATTGTTTGGTGGGCGAACTGCTTGATACCTGAAAGAAGACAGAAATATTGTTTAATAGAATACTCTTGAAATAATCTATGAGGGTCTGATATACGTGTAATGAATGTTGAATATCTATCTATACGTTACTGAACATTTATCTATACGTTCCTCTGAAGAAGCAAAAACCATTAGTCAAATGGATGATATAAGATAAATAAAATTAAAACTAGAAAAGCACTCAGAAAGTGCAGACCTCCGCCATGGTGTGTATATAATATCCACAGTGACACCCGGGACACGGCCAAGTCCAAAAATATGATTATCTTTCGGATGTACTTACACCGCTGCTGCGTCCAGACGGTAATTCGGAATGTCACCAAAATTTAATCAGTTCTAAGTTAGTCCCTTTCTGACTTGTCCCCAGCACTTTTTGAGCTACGCTGCTAACAAACCAACAAACCAACGCCGTCAAAAACATAACCTCCTTGGCGGAGGTAATAAGAAAGAAAGAAAGAAAGAAAAAAACATGTAATGTAATATATGCGCTCGTGTATTAGAATTTACACAAGACAGAATTAATATTAGAGGTATGGGAAATACCCTGATACCATCGGTACTTCATCCTTTTTCAGTGCAGTGCAGTTTTTAGTTTGTCCAGTGACAGCATTGAGATTAGCGTGAGGTCCATAGCTACGTTTCATTCTACGCAAAACAGTGCTCTTTTTCATAGCTATATAAGCAAGCCACTTTCTGCTAAAATGAAAATTGTATTGTACCTCTTGTCCTCCTCTGCTAATTATATGTAACAAATATACATTGACAAGTTATTACATAACCTCTATTGCTTGCAGATTATAACTAAAATATACAAACAATATGGCCATTAACTACATAATGTAGCTGCAGTAGCCTTCTGTTAAAGGGACTATATTTGATTTTTCAAAAAACATACATGACTCTGATTATAACGGTATTCAGAAAATGCTGGAGCGTCAATCACCCAATTCCAGTGTCACAATGTCATAGTTAACTCGTATCACCTAGTCTTTACTTCAATCGCCTATCTGTCTGCATGACTATCACAGCAGGCAAATTATTATTGTCATCAAAACCCAGTTCTCCTGAAGAGCTATAAGTGGCAAAACTGCCAGAGCAGGTAATACGGCAGTGACTGTCAACGTGATCTGTCGCACTCGGCAAAACTGACACTGATTGTCATCATAATCTGTCGTAGTCAAAACCGTCAGTCACCACAACCTGTCAGCAGTCAATATTGGCAACGCCTGTCACCATATGCTATTAACATCCAAAACTGGCAGTGACTTTCAAACAACTTATCATACCAAGCAAAACCGACAGTGACTCACCATAATCTGTCACATCAAACTAAGACTGTCAGTAAATCAACATATCCGATCACTCTACACAAAACTAGCAGTGACTGTCACAATAATCTACCCAACCAAGCCAAACCGGCAGTAACTCACCATAACATCCCACACCACTGTAAACTGCCCAAACTGACAGTGACTCACTAAACCAAACCGGCAGCAGTGACTGTCACCGTAACCTCCCACACCACTGTAAACCGAACTGACAGCGACCGTCACCATAACCGCACTGAACAAACCAGGCAGTGGCCCCTCACCGTCACTCACCTGAGAAAGTTTCCTCGACAGGCCAACCAGGGAAGAATGTCCACTTTGCGATGAAGGGCAGGATTCACCTCAGGACTCACCAGGGCAGGAGTCCCCGCCCCGCTGCCCCGGGTTAGGAGGTGGCGGTCCCTGGAGGAGGAGGAGGAAAAGCGCAGGGCGGATGACGATGGAAGGGGGGACAGGGAGCATTCTCTTTCTCTCTCTCTTCTTATCTCTTTCTTTTTGAGTGCTGTTTTTTTTTGTTTCTCGCTCTATCTCTCTCTCACTCTCTCTCTTTCTCTCTCTCTCTCTCTCTTTGTCTGTTTTTGGCTGTTATTTTTCTCTCTATCTTCCTCATATTCATTTTGCCTCTCTCTCTCTTTTTCTCTCATTTATCTTACTTTTCTCTCCCTCCCTCCCCCCTCCCTCCCATTCCCTTCCCCCTACCCCTTCTTTCTCTCTTCACTTCACTTTCTCTCTTCCTTTCTCACTCCGTCTCTCCCTCCCTCCCCCACCCCCATTCACCCCCACCCCCATTACCACCCCCCCTTCCCCCTCCCCACGCCCCCCAAAAAACACAAATAAATAAGACCCACCTACTGTAGCAACAGGTCTGGGCGGCGAGGGAGCGTGGGCGTGGCAGGAGCAGCGAGCGAATGCAAACGTCGGCGCCCCTATGGTACACGTCAATTCTCTCCCTCGACTTGCTCACCGCTAACCACCTGTGGGGTCGTGTGGGCGGCTTGGTGAGCTTGTCAGTGTGGGCGGCATCGTGATAAATTATAAAAAATAACAGTAGTAAAAACAATAAAACAAAAAAGCGAGAATGAAAAAAAATAAAGATGGAACAACCATAGTAGTAATAATTTAAAACAAACAAACAAAATAAAATAAAATGATAATAATAAAGATGATAGAAAAATAAATAGACAAACAAGATGATAATAATAATGATAATAATGATAATGATAATTGTGATAACAACTGTAATAATAATAATAATAATAATAACAACAATAATAATATAGAAATAATAACGACGATAACAATAACAACAACAGCAACAAAACCATAATAATAATAATGACAAGAAATCGAGTTGCAATCTCTCTGCAACATGTACCTGAACGTTGCATTGAGCAGCGGGTCGTGTATTGCATCGCGGTAGACCAGGTCGGCTGGGTAGACACAAGGACAAGATGGCAGTGCATGCAATTGAGCTAGTTCTTGCAATGCCCTCTCCACGCGACAGTCCGTCCATGCACCGCATATGTCTGCAATGAGACGGAGAAGTTATGAGTTTTAAGTCTGCAGTGGGGAGGAGAAGTAGGTAAGTTATGAGTTGTAAGTTATAAGTTGTGGGTAAGTTATGAGTTGTAAGTTGTAAGATATAGTTGTAGGCAAGTTATGAGTTTTGAGTCTGCAGTGAGGAGGGGAAGTAGGTAAGTTATGAGTTGTAAGTTATAAGTTTTAAGTTGTAGGTAAGTTATGAGGGAAGTTATAAAATATTGGGTCTGCAATGAGGAGAAGTTGTTGGCAAGTTATGAGTAAGTTATGAGTTTTAAGTCTGCAATGAGACGGAGAAGTTGTAGGCAAGTTATGAGTTTTAAGTCTGCAGTGAGGAGGAGAAGTAGGTAAGTTATGAGTTATGAGTTATAAGTTTTAAGTAAGTCTGCAATGAGGATGACATGTTGTAGGCAGGTTATGAGTTTTAAGTCTGCAATGAGGAGAAAAAGTTGTAGGTAAGTTAAGCTTAATGGTATGATGGAAAAAAAAACTTTTCGAGATCGTTACTAGATCTGTTCATGAAGAAAAAAAAAACGGATTTCAAAAAGATATTGTTAAGATAAAGATGCTTTGTCACTTTAATAAAAAGAAGAAGAAAAAATAAATATAAATAAAATGAAAAATAGAGATAGACCTTTTTTTCTTTTTTTCTTTTACTTTCTCTTCTTTTCTTTTTCTTTCGTTTCTTTTCTTTTCCCACGATGCCCTTGAAGGAGACGAAGAAGAAAAAGGAGAACTTATCAAATAAAACAAAATTTAAACTTGAAACTAAAAATCAAACTTAAATTTAAAAGTTATCAAATAAACTAAAACTTGAAATTAAAATTACGGATCAAATTGAAATTTAAAACTTAATAAATAAAATAAAACTTAAAACTAATCTTAAAACTAATCCCCATCGAAGAGAAAAAAAATAAAATAAAAGTCACAATAAAAAATAAATAAGAAAATGTAAATAAAAATAAAACACAGAAAAAAAAATCTCGTGTTGATTTTCATCTCCTTACTTTTATTACTTTTTTCTTGCATTTCCCTTCCATTTCTTAGAGCTCATTGAATCCAGAAAAGTAAAGAAAAAACAATAAAAGACAGGGAGATATAGTACAAGAAAGTTCACGTTTTGGTCATCGAAGAAGAAGAAGAAAAAAAATGGAAGAAAATTGAAGAATTTGGCGCTATCCTCATCGAGAAAAAGAGAAAAAAGAAAACAAAACAAAACAATAATAATGATAATAAGAATAAGGAAATAAAAGACATAGAAAAAATACTTTCCCTTCTGACCTCATCGAAAAAAGAGAGAAAAATGAAAAAAGAAACAATAATAATGATAATAAGAATAAGGAAATAAAAGACAGAAAAAAATACTTTTCCTTCTGACCTCATCGGAAAAGAGAGAGAGAGAGAAAAAAAACAATAATAATGATAATAAGAATAAGAAAATAAAAGACATTGATTTTTTTTATTCCGACCTTCGACAAAGTCCTCCTCGTTATCCTCGGCGCCCTTGAAGCCGCCCTTGAGCAGCTCCTCGAGGGCGTCGGCCAGCCCCACCACCAGCTCTCGGGTCGACCTCAGCTCCTCTTCGTCCGCTCCCTCGACCCGAACGCCGTCCCGAGGGTCAGCGTCCTCGTAGTCGTCGGCAGCAGCGTCCTCCTCCTCCACCTCCTCTTCCTTCACTAGTCCTCCTTCTCTTTCTCTTCCTTTCTCCATCTCCATTCTTTCATCCATCCCTCCTCTCCCTCTATCACCGCCCTCGCTTCTGTTCCTCTTCCGTGGTTGCCCCTTTTCCTTCTTTTTCTTCTTCTTCTTCTTCTTCTTCTTCCAAGGAAAACGCTTCCTGTTGGGCCAAGTTCCCGAGGGAGGCGCAGAGAAGGAGGGGCGAGGGGCGTGCTTCTGCAAGGGGTCCAGCTTCCCCTTCTCCTCCAACAACGCCTCCTCCTCCTCCTCCTTCTCCTCCTCCTCCTCCTCATTCTTCTCCTCCTTCTGCTGCTTCTTCAGGTCCTCGTCCTGCTTCTCGGTCTCATGCTGAAAGGAAGGCGATACTGTACATCGTGGTGGTAATAATGCACAAACGATATCATCATCACATGCATATATATATATATATATATATATATATATATATATATATATATATATATATATATATATATATATATATATGTATATATATATATGTATATATATATGTATATATATATGTATATATATATGTATATATATATGTATATATATATGTATATATGTATATATGTATATATATGTATATGTATACATACACACACACACACACACACACATTATGGTGATAGTGATGATGGCGGTGATGATAGTGGCGATATTGATGCTGGTGATACCAGTGGTGATGATGGAGATGGTGGTGATGATGGTAATGGTTATGGTGATGATAGTGATGATGGTGGTGGTGACGATGACGATGACGATGACGATGATGACGATTGTGAAGATGGAAACGATGGCAATAATGATGATTATGACGAAATTGAAAATAAGGATGTCAACGATGATGGTGATGATAATTATCATAAAAGCAAAAATAATGGATAATGGAAAATGATGAAGCACCTCTAGCGTGAATACCTGCGTCTATTTTTTACTTAAAGATCACTGTTTCTGTTCCTGTGACCTTTTCATAACTGAGACCAAGTCCGCAGAAGGGAGACCTTGACACCTTGGATGTGTCAACTTTATCTATTATTTTTCCTTTCTTTCTCTTATTCTTTCTCCTTCTTTTGTCGTTTTTTTCTCTTGTTTTTTTTTTATCTTGTTATTTCTCTTTTTTTCCTTCTCTTGTCCTTGCATCCTTTTTTCTTTCTTTTATTCTTTCTCTCTTACTTTCTTTCCCTCGTTCTTTCTCTCTCACTTTCTTTCCCTTGTTCTTTCTCTCTCACATTCTTTCTCTTGTTCCTCCTGTCTTCCTCCCTTCAGTCCAAAGAACAAGCATGTCGGTCTTAGGTAAAAAAAATCCACAACCTCAGCACAGGTCCGGAAGCCATCTTTGTTTATCTCGCCAGTCAGGTTAACAATGCAATTACACTCTCGTAGGTCTGATACTTTCGGGCTGGCTTCAAAACGTCTTTCTGTGGTGCGTAATGGTAGTTAGATAAACTTGAAGGAAAGTTGTATAGATTGTGGTTTGACAATGACCGCGAGGAAAAAAAATGAATAAAAAATAGTGTCTGGGTACAGAAGCTTTGAGTCAGGCTCTTCGAATGCTCCCAGATACCTCCCCTATTTTACGGCTAAAATAGTGATAATCCCCGACTAGGGTTTGGTCCCAGGCGGATAAGGAGAGTGGAGCTCTGGCTTTCATAACAGAACGGACATTTCGGTGATTCATTCTCCGGTTTCACTTCTGCTAGGAATCGTCGCCGTCTGGCAGCCGCGGCCTTTAATTTAAGACTGTGTGATAACCTGGCTGCATATCCTTCTAATGGTACTTTCCTTTTTATTTGTAGTTTTTGGTCTTTATACAAAAAAAAAAAAAAAAAAAAAAAATCCATTGCAACTTCTCCAGGTCAAATGGCATCAGAATGACTTAAAGAATATGCAGATGATCCAACTACTGTGTTCCGTCGTCTTTTTTGCCAATAGTAGTCTTTTTCTTCTTGGCAATAGCTGTTTACGCAAAAAAGGATATTCGCTCTAATTCTTCTGATTATTGATCCCTTATTCATCTCCCGCTGAACACATCCTTAAACACCCTGAGTCATCAACATGTTTTCGAAAAGCGATAGACATCTGGGGTTTGTCTCATTCCACTCACAAGTGGTCCTCCTCTCCTACGGAACTTCAGAGAATTAACGCATGTTGTTGCCTTACTTATCTTCCAAGGCTTTTGACGGGGTCTGGCACTAAGACCGAGTTACCTACATCCGGTTTTACTCCTTCTCTCCACAAAATTATATCCACCTTTCTCTCCAACTTCCGTATCTGGCTGAGCAACAACCCTTTCCCTGTTAGCGGTGGCGTTCTTCAGGGTGGGTTCATTTTTCCAACATTTATTTTCTCTCTGCATCTTTCACGAATAGTTTTCTGTCCATTTCTAGACCTAATTATTCTTAGGTCATTGAGTTGACCGCTCCTGCACTTGTACTTCTAAAGTCTGCATATCCCTTTCCCTAATCTTACGGTCTACCAGCATGTAAGGGAAAGTAAAAGACCTTTATGAATGTTCTAACTACCTTATCCTAAAGTATCTTGATCTAGGTACGAGTAGTATTACCATTATACATACAGACACATACATGCATTCTCTCTCTCTCTCTCTCTTTCTCTTTCTGTCTCTGTCTCTTAGGGCACATGAGTAAGCGATAACTTACCGATGAGGATGGGCGGCTTCTTGTGGACGAGGGAGAGTGGGCGGCGTTCCTGAGTTTTTCCTCGTGGGTGAACAGCTCTGAAACGGAAGATGCTGACTCATGCTCATGTGAGTAAGTAGGGGAGGGGCGATGTATACTGTACTGTGTGTCTGTGTATGCGTTTATGGGGGTGTACATGCACATAGTCATACATGCATATGATGTGTAAACAAAGTTGCCTCAAGGTTGAAAGGGCTTAACGTTGAAGCAAAACCCTGAAGCAGGTAAGGGAAGCACCTCCCGACGCGGCGCCCGACGCACCTGTGATCCTGTTGGCGTCCTCACCGGGCCACCGAGGCGGGGCGACGTGACCTCCCTCCGGCCCTCCCTCGCCAGGGCTCTCGGCGGGTCCGACCTCGTCCTCCTGCTGCTCAGCGTCCACGACCTGGATGCTGACTCGGATGCTCGGGTTGTAGCGCAGCCTGGCCAGGGTGCGGCTGTCGATCACCTCCAGGGGAAGAAGGAGGGACGGCACCTGCGGAAGGCCTTCTGCGCGGACGCTTTGCCTCGGCTGCTCCTGCCCGGTGCTCTGCCTTCCAGGTCCCCTCCCCCTCTCCCCCCTGACGGCTTGCGAGGGCCCGCCATTCCCCTGCACCTTGACGCCGCCGGGCCTCAGAGGCGCGAGCGACGGCGGCGGGGCGGAGCGGGACCCTGGGCGAGAGCGGGTCTTATCGTCCCCGTGCCTCTTCCTCTTCCTTTTTTTCTTCCTTTTCTTCCTCCGCTTCCTCTTCTGCTTCTTCTTCTTTCGTTTCCTTCGACGTTTCTCACTTCCTTTGAGGTGCAGGGGGTCCCCTTGAGTCTGGGGGACGAAGGAAGGGGGAGAGAGCGTGAGGGTCTGGACGGAACATCGTGAAAACAGATTCCAGAAGCATAGCTACTCATGGGCATCGCTTTCATGCATAATCACCCATCCCTGGGAGAGAAGATGCGCGCCAATCGAAAGATATACTTGCACAACTACGGGAGAAAATGAAAAAATAGAGAAAGAAAATAATATATATAGAGAGAATGAGAGAGAGAGACATGCATAAGTAAAAAAAAAAAAAAAAACGAATATATATATATACACACACACACACACATATATATATATATATATATATATATATATATATATATATATATATATATATATATATATATATATATATATATATATCTGTGTGTGTGTGTGTGTGTGAGAGAGAGAGTGAGTGTGTGAGTGTGTGAGTGTGTGCGTGCGTGTGTATGCGTGTGCGTGTGCGGGAGAGAGGGAGAGAGGGAGAGAGGGAGAGAGGGAGAGAGGGAGAGAGGGAGAGAGAGAGAGAGAGAGAGAGAGAGAGAGAGAGAGAGAGAGAGAGAGAGAGAGAGAGAGAGAGAGAGACAGACAAAGACAGAGAAAGCGAGATAGCTGTATTCAACAACGAAGCGCGAAAGAGAGAGAGAAAAAATAAATAAATTAAAAAATAAATTAAAAAGAAAAACAAGGCAGAAAGACAAAATAGAAAAAAACCAACTCCCTAGCTAACCTTTCTGACAGACCTCGTTGATCTTAGAGCCACCTTGCACCACCTGAACGCAGCTGGGGGGGCACAGCTGGTTCTCCCGGCAGGTGACTCGATAGACGTAGGGCCACCTGGCGTTCTCGCTGCCGACGTCACCCCTTCCTCTAGAGACCGACGTTTGAGGAAAGAGTTCGACGTCCTTGAGTCTGGCGAGGGTTGGCGAGCTTCGAGTCCCACTTCAGGCCATAGCTGAAGGGGGGGAGGGGAGGAGAGAGAAGGGAGGCGAGAGAACTTAACCTCGAGATACTGGAAAAACTTTTGGTGAACTTTAGAGAAAGTTATTTTGAAACTTGGAGGATGTGACCTTTGAGGAATCTGAGAATTTTAGTAAAAATTACTTAGAAGATTGGAGACTTTTAATGTATTTAGGGAAAGTTACTTAGAAACTTGGAGAATTCTATGAACTTAAAAAAAAGTTACTTAGAAACCTATATACTTTGATGATCTTAGAGAAGGTTACTTAGAAACTAGGAGACTTTGGTGAACTTAGAGAATGTTACATAGAAAACTGGAGACTTTGATGAACTTAAGGGAACTTGAAGTGAGTTGGAATCTAGTGTTTGAGGGGATGAAGGGCATTACTGCAAGAGATATTCCTTGGAAATAATATAAGTAGACATACACGCACACACGCGCACACACATAGGCAAGTTCATATACAAAAAAATACACATATATATGTTCACACACAAACACACACGCTCACTCACACATACGCTAAATAAGTACACAAACACACATACACACACACAAAGAAACAAACAAACACACACATTGCAGATAAACAAATAGCTAGACACACATTACAGGTATATCAAACGAGTAAACAACCGACATAATAAGCAAAGACTCCAAGGTAAACAAGTAGGATTTCCTTAATGCATTGCGTGTGTGATCCTAATCTCACCCCCATCCTCCTTCCCTCCTCTCTCTCTCCCTTTTATCATCTCTTTCTCTCTTTGCTCTACCGTCTTTCAATCCATCTCTCTTTGCCTTACTCTCTTTCTCTCTGTCTCTCTTCCCTTACGGTCTCCCTTCTCTTTCCATCTCCCTTCCCTCTTCCTCTCCATCCCCGTACTATCTTTATTCCTTCTCCCTCTCCTTATCCTCTCCTTTTCTCTTTCCCTCCCTTTACCATCTCCCTTCTCTCTCCCTTCCCTTCCCTCTTCCTTCCCTAACCCTAAAGAGAAAGTGGGAGGGAAGGAGGAAAGGAGGCGGGTAGTAGGGAGGGAAGAAGAGAAGGAGGGAGCGCTAATGAGGGAGACGGTAAGGAGTGAAAGAAAGAAGGAGGGAAGGAGGGAGGCTATAAGGAGGAAAGGAGGGAAGGAGGGAAGGAGGGAGGCGATAAGGAGTGAAAGAGAGAAGGAGGGAAGGAGGGAGGCGATAAGGAGGAAAGGAGGGAAGGAGAGAAGGAGGGAGGCGATAAGGAGTAAAAGAGAGAAGGAGAGAATGAGGGAGACGATAAGGAGGAAAGGAGAGAAGGGGGGAAGGAGAAGCGAGGACGAAGAGGGCAGAGAAGGTGAGGGAAGGAAAAGGAAAAGGAAGGGAAGGGAGGGAAAATAGAGGAAGAAGGGAGACAGAAGAGAGGGTGAGACGAGGGAGAGAGAGATGGCAAGGGAAGGAAGAGGAAGAGAGAGGAAGCATAGTATCTCAAACACAGACGACCTCAATATTAATCCTAACAGAGCGCATACAGAATGTACGTGTGTGTGTGTGTGTGTGTGTGTGTGTGTGTGTGTGTGTGTATTTGTATGTGTGTGTGTGTGTGTGTGTGTGTGTGTGTGTGTGTGTGTGTGTGTGTGTGTGTGTGTGTGTGTGTGTGTGTGTGTGTGTGTGTGTGTGTGTTTGTGTGTGTGTGTGTGTATGTGTGCGAGGGTGTGTGTGTGTGTGTGTGTGTGTGTGTGTGTGTGTGTTTGTGTGTGTGTGTGTGTATGTGTGCGAGGGTGTGTGTGTGTGTGTGTGTGTGTGTGTGTGTGTGTGTGTGTGTGTGTGTGTGTGTGTGTGTATCTGTGTGCGTGCGTGTGTCTGTGTGCGTGCATGCGTGTGTGCATGTACGGGATATACTAAAACCTGCTTTCTATCACCAGTACAGATAAACAAGACATCGAGTGAGTTATCTTTCACATACACCGAGATATTTTCGTTTCGGGGGAGCTAAGGGAGGAAAAAAGGGAGGAGGAAGGGAGAAAAAAGGGAGGAGGAAGGGAGAAAAAAGGGAGGAGGAAGGGAGAAAAACGGAGGAGGAAGGGAGAAAAAAGGGAGGAGGAAGGGAGAAAAAAGGGAGGAGGAAAGGAGGGAGAGGGAGGAAGGGAGGAAAAAAGGGAGGAGGAGGGGAGAAAAGGGAGGAGGAAGGGAGAAAAAAGGGAGGAGGAAAGGAGAAAAAAAGGAGGAGGAAAGGAGAAAAAAGGGAGGAGGAAGGGAGAAAATAGGGATAAGGAAGGGAGAAAAAAGGGAGGAGGAAGGGAGAAAATAGGGATAAGGAAGGGAGAAAAAGAGAGGAGAAAGGAAGGAGGAAGGGAGTAAAGGGAGGAGGAAGGGAGAAAAAAGGGAGCAAAGGAATAGAAAGGGAGGAGGAAAGGAGAAAAAAGGGAGGAGGAAGGGAGGATAAACGGAGAAAGGGAGAAAAAGGGAGGAGGAAAGGAGAAAAAAAAGGAGGAGGAAGGGAGAAAATAGGGATGAGGAAGGGAGAAAAAGAGAGGAGAAAGGAAGGAGGAAGAGTAAAAAAAGGAAGGAAGGGAGAAGGGACGGAGATGGAAGGGAGGAGGGAGAAGGATGGGAGAAGAAGGAGGAAGGAGAAGGGAGAAAAGGTAGAGGATGGGAAAAAAAGGAGATGAATGGAGATAAAGGTATATAAAGGGAGAAGGAAGGGAGATGAAAGGGGAAGAAAGGGAGGGGAAGGGAGAAAAAGTGGAGGAAGCGAGAGATATGGGAGAAAAAGGGAGATGAAGGGAGAAGGAAGAGAGAACAAGGGAGAAGGGAAATGGAAGGAAGAGGAAGGGAAGGGAATAGAAGGCAGATGAATGGGATAGAAAGGGAGGAAGGAGAGGAGAGGAGAGGAAGAAAAGGGAAGAGGAAGAGATGAAAAGGGAAGCGACGGGAAGAGGAGAAAGGGAAGCAGAAAGGGAAAGAGGGAATGGAGAAAAGGAGAGGAAGTGAAGAAGGAAATGAAGAGAAGGAATGGATAGGGAGGGAAGGAAAGAAGAAGGAAAGAGAGGAGGAAATAAGGGGGATGATGAAGGGAGAGGAAGGGGAGAGAGCAGAATGGAAGTGAAAGATAAAAGAGGAAGAGGAGGGGGAAGCGAGGACGAAGAGGGCAGAGAAGGGGAGGGAAGAAGAGAGAGAGGGAAAGGAAAGGAAGGGAAGGAAAGTAAAGGAAAGGGAGATTGAGTTATATTTAAAAGGCACTAAGACAAAGGGAACAGAAAAAATAGATTCCTTTTGTCTAATATGATATAAATAAAGAGACAAAGAGAAGACAGACAAATAAGTAGACAGGCGGGCATGTGGAAGGGTAGACAGAGAGACAAATAGACAGATAGACAGAGGGACAAGTAGACATACAGA